GCGATCTCTTTCAACCAATTAGCTTAGCAGGATTCTGCCAACCACTCGTTGGCAAATACCTTTCATTTAGAATATCACTTTAGGAGGAAACCCAAACACAAAACATAAATAACAGTTATTATTTTTACGGTAAATCGGCTTTTGCTTTCTTATTTAAGTAAATCTATAATTACGAGATGTAAGTATAGTTAATCTAAGTTTAAGCAAATTACGCTTCCTCGTACACGTGCGCTAACGTGTAAGCCGAAGTAGTGGGCACGTAGTGAGCCCATTACACGCTGGCAGCACCAAACTCACCTTTCCCTCCATGGATTGAAGACGCCTCAGTTCAAACCACAGCTGCTGGCGCTTCTTCAAGAAGTGAACGAGCTTTCGGCAATTTGCTGCGAGCTGTCCTAGCCATGGGAGCCGATCAACCAGATCCTTCACTACCAGATTAAGCGCATGGGAAATGCAGCCGTGGAAGAAGACCATGGGCTTCTTCTGCTGAAGCGTCGACCAAACCGGCTGATTGGTGGCAGTGTTGTCGGTCACAACAGCCGCGATGCTGACAAAGTCAAGCTGCTCCATGACACGTAATGTGTTAGAGGCAAGATAGGGAGTCTCGTGCGACTCAGAACCTGTGTAGACAAATTCTAGGAAAACCGTTGTATCCTCTGTGAGCAAGACGTAGTTGATGACGGCTTTGCCATTTACGTCGGTACACCCGTCGGTCGTCAGAGTGACCTTCTTGCCCTTCACCTTTAGCATTAGGCGTGAGCGGAAGTCTTCGTAGCTTGCATCAAGCAACGAAGTGGCCAACTGCTGACGGTTTGGCAGGATAGCAGAAGGCGTCAAAACTTGCAAGGCAGTGACGAGTGTCTTGTGCTCCACCTTCTTGAAGGCCATGCCGGTGGTGTAAAACCATAAGGCAATGCGCAGTTGGAACTCGCGAATCTTGGCGGGTGACAATGTAGCCCTAAATGCCGACGTGATGAGCGGAGTCTTGAGGCGCTTGATGCATTTCTTCTCGAAGTGATAGCGAACTCGTTCGACGTGGGTCTTCCCCAAAGTGTGAATGATTTTTTTCACACTTCAAGCACAAAACGATGCCGTCTTCGAAGAGTACTTGATCCCAAACTGGATCGTGAGGGCGTCCACCGCGCCGAACGACCAGCTGGACAGGAGGTTCGTCACCTGTGGCAGCAGGCCTCCAAGCGGAGAAGAAGACCATGAGTAAAAGATGAGGGAGGAGAAGTCTTGGGTTTGAAGTAAAAGCAAGAGTGAGATGAATTGTTCGTTAGCTTTTAAGGAACGATCCTCAGCACCCGATCAAGGTGAGATGATGAACTCCATGTGAGCCATTCATCCATGTTTTGGAATATACCATTGTTTTTACCAACCCGCCCGTAAAAAGGTAATAACCCGCCCCTAATCCAGTCAGAACGTGAAATTAAGAAAACTGATGTTTGGCGCTGCAAAATCAATGGAATTGCGGACAAGATGGATGCAAGGGTTCTAGACAACAAGGAGAGCATGCAAAAGGCATATGGATGATGGTCTGAGAGAACACTGAACATTTATTGCTGCAATTAAAGGGTTTAATTGACGAACTAAGTCGAGACAACGCCATATTGCAGGGTATATTGCGTGCTCGACCGACACGATTGGAGCACGGTGGTGTGTTTCTGAATGTGTTTTCTCTTGATCACTCCTTTTCGTCTGAAGCAATGAGCTAGCGGGTGGTCTCGGTCGTACGGTAGGCCTCTACATTGGGTTAAGCCTGTAGCAGTGCGAGGATTCCTGTAGGCCTCTACATTGGGTTAAGTCTGTAGCAGTGCGAGGATTCCTGTCATTTTTATACAACAGATCGTCGTTAGTCATATGTGCGATTACGGCGTGGTAGTTCTAAAAAGATGTTAAGATTGTTAAGAAAAATAAAAAAAAACTTCAAAAAAACAGAATTCCCATCACCCGGGTCCCCAATTCCTTCGTCAAATTCTGCAACTACAAAACCCACTAGCCCTGCGTGGATTTGGCAAAGCTTCAAATATCAATCTGACGGCAACCGCACTCAATCTACTCTAGTTCTCTACGATGGCGCGCATCATTTCCGGCAGCGAAAATGTTGCCGCGGAGCTGTCGAAGATGAACTTCGCCAGCAAGTGACGGAAAATGAAGCCAACGTAATCGTTTCCACGAAGGATATGCGTAATTTTGCAAGGACCAAGTTGCCGGGGGGTCAGTGTACTTTTCGGTTTTTAAGCAGCAGAGGGCCCAACAATCGCGGAACCCGCCTCACCCTCATTGACGGGTTCATGCAACCCCTACGGTGGCTGGAGCGAAAGGCCATCTCCCCCAGGGAAGCTCGTGTATCAAGGTCACTGTGTGAGACCCGAAGGTACGGTCGCTGGTGAAACATCGCTTCCGTGTTGGTGCCCTCTACGAGCTGAGGAAAATTCATGGGTAAAGTTCTACCACGATGTGCTCCAAGGCAGCTTGTAAGCGATATCCCCTGTGAGCCCTGGTCTCATCGAGGAAGTCAGCGAATTCGAAAAGGCCTAATGTGCGCGGCTGGAGGACGGCAACCAAGAGCAACGCGGTCCAAGCGCGGAATACGAAGAGGGAAAGGGCGAAGAAGGTGATGACGAGGAAGTCGACAAAGATGAGATGATCGAGGTGTAGCGAGGAAAGTAGTTTAAGATACCAAGCACTTCATTTTTAGCAAGTGCCAAGCGGACACGGTGATCGTGTGCCTCACCCACGGTAAGATCGTTATTGCGCACTGGTGTGGAGCAAATTTCGACGTCAGGAGGTGAGCGGTATGGGTTACGACCCCTTCCACAATGAGAGCTATGAAGCGGCAACAGAAACCATTTGGAGTTGGTGTACATGACCCTGATTGACCCAGCCTTTAGACCAGAAATCCGTCTGTATCAGGCGTGGAAACAGCGTGGTGGATACGGTTGTGGTGGATACAGTTGTGGTGTGTACGTTGCACATTGGTTCGATTACGACGTGGAAAATTATGTTTTGACGTCTGGAAAGACGATTTCGACTAACACTGACCTCTCGTCTGTTCTATAAAAATTTGACCTCACTTTAGACTTGTATAGGTAGGGAAAATTATTGTTTTGCTGTTTGAACCGTCGGACACCAATACTTGAATGTCTTTAGAAGGAGGTAAATTTTGATCGAAATCGCCCTAGAGAGTGAGATGATAAAAGTCTCCCCTAACCCGTTTCCTATACATGCATGAAATACCCTGTAAAAAGAGTACACACCTCGTTAAATCAGAGTAATAAGTGTTCGTTTGATTATAGGCTTTGCCCCAATTAAACAATGGTTTAATGCTAAACCCAGAAAAATAATAGAACGACGGGATTGAATCTTAATGAATTCGACAAGTGCGGCGCTAGCGGAGCAGTTCGTGCCGGTCACGTATGTGCAACAAGGTCTCGATGCGCTCCGCTCGCGCGAGAAACAGGTGACGACTTTGCTCGCACAGCGTCGCCTTCCGGACAAAGGCTGGGACGATGCCAGCGTGGAGCTGCTGCTGCAAACGCTTTCGGCCATGGACAGCAACAACTTTCTGGGTAGCGCAGGCGCCGGCGAGCGCGAGGCACGCGTCTTCTCTCCATTAGTGGCGCGTCGTCATTTTCACTTGGCACATGGTATAGGTAGATCAGGCGACGTGGCGGCGGTACAGCCTAAAGCTGCCGGGTCGTCGCTCATGGTGCAGGTGGCTAACGCTCTAGCCAAGGACGTGCTGCGTCTCGCAGGTATGCGGGCGGTACAAGCGGCGTTGGTACTGCCTGTGGCAACTGGTATGTCGCTTATGCTGGTGCTATTGCAGCTGAAAGTGTCAAAACCCAATGCACGCTACGTCGTATGGCCTCGTATCGACCAAAAGTCCTGCTTCAAATCCATCTTGGCGGCCGGATTAACGCCGCTAATACTGGCAAATACTTTGGTAAAGGAGGAAGATGAGAGTCCTAGCGGGTACTTGAAAACAGACTTGGTAGGGATGGCAGCACTGATGGATCAATACGGGAGTGATAGCATTTTGGCTGTGATGAGCACCACAAGTTGCTTTGCGCCGAGGGCCTATGATAGCGTGAAGGAGATTGCTGAGCTTTGTCAAGAGCGAAACATTGGTAAGAAGCGGGGTTGTCATGAATTTTGCTACCTTACTGGAAGTGACGAGGTGTTGCGGCTGTTATTGGTGAAGCCCATGTGATCAATAACGCTTATGGTGTCCAGGCATCCAAGTGTGTTCATCAAGTAGAATTAGCTATGAGAACTGGGCGTGTGGACGCCGTGGTGCAGAGTCTCGACAAGAATTTCATGGTGCCTGTAGGCGGAGCCATTGTTTGTTCGGCATCTCGTGATATTGTTGACCGCGTGGCAAAATACTACCCTGGTCGAGCCAGCGCTACACCTACTCTGGACTTCTTCATTACGATACTCCAAATGGTTTGTTGTAACAAGCACCAAAACCTCCTAATCTTGAAGTATCTAATAGTGATCACCTCGTTACATGCTAGGGGAAGAGTGGATATCGACGACTACTTGAAGAACGCAAGCAACTCGCAACTTACATGCGCGAGAAGCTGGACGCGCTTGCAATTGAGAAGGGTGAGCGTGTGCTGCATGTCTCCAACAACGAGGTAAGCATTCGGCAAGTGAAGGGGATTGATCCGCTGCTCATTCTCATCGTCTTACCCACCTCTCAGATCTCTTTTGCGCTGACTCTGGGGAGTTTCTGCTCGGAAGTGATGGACAAGCAAGAAAGATCACGACGGCTGACGTTACTTGGCGCTATGCTCTTTTCACGTGGGGTGTCTGGTGCACGGTAAGCTTGCAACGACTGTAGTAGCCGACAGCGTTACAGATCATCTGACTTTGAGTGCCTGCATTTTCAGAGTTGTGTCGTGTCTCGACCACAAAACGATTGCTGGACACGAGTTTCCATCCTTTGGAGCGCATTATGACGGATTTCCTGTGGCGTACGTTACCTTTGCCTGTGCGTTGGGCATGCGGCATGACGAAGTGGACTTACTCGTCACGAAACTACGGAAGACAATTCATGAGTGGCGAGCGAAACTGAGCAAACAATCACCTCCAGTCAAGAATCAAGTAGAACAGAGTTCGGCACTCGAGAACAAGTAGACTGTCTATAAATCTGTTTCCTGATGTGCTATCTGTTTGTTTCCTATTGCTCCTTGCTTTTCCTGTAGACACCACAACTTCGCTGGGGCATGTTTAGTGCTTTTTTCCACTGTTCTTGGACTTGCGGTTTTTCTTCTTGGTCGCAGGCGGCGATCCAGCATCTTGTCCCGACTGGGTCTTGAATTCAAGCTCACCGAGCAGTTCGTTGGCAATCGCATCAGCGGCTTCAGCAGCGTCCACTTCCCGACGGCCCTTTGCACCCTCGACGGCCTTCTCCGTGAACTTGGCCATGAACTTGGCCGACTCAATTACTCGTGGGTCCTCGTCTCCGAACGCCTCCTTCATGAGCGAGTACACCTTCTTCTCGTACATCAGAGCCTCACGGTAGCCACCAGCTAGACTGCACGCTAAAGCCATTTGGTGGAGAACGTTAGCCGCCTGGTTGCGGTCAAACTCACCACGACGAAGAGACTCGCGGTGGCACATGAGTGCCAACGTAATCTGCCCCACATCCTGGCACATCATACCCATTTTGAAGTAGAGCGAGCTAATCTCAGGGAAGTGAGGGCCGCAGCAGAACTCCAGCAGGTAAATCGCGCGGCGGATGTGCGGCACTGCCAGGTCCGTCTGGGCGTTCGCGTGTAAGAACAACGCCAAGTTCGCGTGCGCGTAAGCCGTGTCGTGGTAATCGATACCCTGGAGCTGCGTGTACAGTGCCAACGCTCGTTGTTGCTGTGTAATAGCCCCGGCGACGTCACCAGCGTGGTAGAGCACAGTAGCGAGCGACGAGCTGCAGAGTGCTGCATCCTCGTGGGCTGCACCACACACCTGGAAGAGCAGAGACGATGACTCTTGAAGGAACTCGTACGCATTCGACAGAGCGCCCTGGCTCAAGTGCATGCGACCACGTTCGAGGAGCTGCTTCGCCTGAGCCAACGGGTGTGCAGGCAAGGAGGTCTTGACGACAGGCACGACACCAGTGATGTCATCCAGGCTGATCGGCGACGATGACGAGAACTCGTAGTTACGGCTCACAACTCGCAGACCCAGACGCTGGCACAGACGTCGCAGCATGACCGATTTGTTGACACGGCCAGCAGGGAAGGCAGCATCCTCGCCACGAGATTCGTCACGGCCAGGACCCCACAGAGTCAACTTGTAGTCAAATCGGGCCTTAATCTCCTTGTCAATGCGCGTCCACAGCGTATTGGCATCCAGTGAGGCCGTTGTGGTAGCATCGGTGCCATTGGCCTCGTCGGTCCTGTCCGCAGCAGCAGCCGAGATGGATCCAAGAATGCCATTGAGGAGCTTCACAATTGCCGTTCCAGGGGCCGCACGAATCGAGTCGTTGGAGTTCAAGACATCAGCCAGGATGTGCTTCGAAACACGCGCAATCATCTCCACCTCCAACATCTCCAGCAAGTACTTGGAAATACCGCTAATGGCCTCCAGCTTTTTGGCAAGCGAGGCCAAACGACCCAGGTAACGCATGTTGATACCGCAAGAGTGCATCAACTGCGTGAGAGCGTAGCCATCAGCTGGAGCGATAGCACCGCGACGCACATCAGCAACAAACGCCGGTACAACGATACGCTGCATATACTCCGCAGCGTCCTTCGCGGCTGCCTCATCAGCCTCGAGCTGCTTCGCATCAGTGGAAGCCGCATAGTCCATGAAGACGTTCGGGTTGAGCAGCACCGGTGGGATCTCTTCCTCCTCCTCCTCTTCTTCTTCGGTCTCTTCAGTCTCCTTCTCGGTAGCAGCATCGTCCTTCTTCTCGCCATCATCTTCAGTACTATTCTGTTGCTTCTCTTTCTCCTCCTCAGCCTTCTTAGCGTCCTTTGCTGCCTTACGGGCCTCGCGGTTGGCACGGCGGGCCTGGTTTTCCTTCCAGAGCGAGTACAGCTGAACCAGTTCCGGTCGCAACAGAGCAGCATAGCCCTCGTCGTTACGCGTGAAGCATAGCCCGTCCTCTTCAGGAGCAGAATCCTTCTTTTCCCCCGTGTTCTTCAGAGCAGCATCACGTTGCTTGTAGAATGTCCAGTCCTTCGGAGTAATGCGGACGAGATCCAAGACGTACAGACGTCCGTCCGAGCCTTGGATTCCCTTGGCCTCTACGGCACCGCAAATGGTTGCAACGTCAGTGCTGGCCTCACCACCACTCACAGGAGCAATGCCTAAAGCTTCCTGCTCCTTCTCAGCAGCCAAGTCTTCTTCACTCTTACCAAGGGGTTTAATACTACGCTCAGCAATGTGCAGCTTCTTGCCTGCTTCAAGCATGAGCTCGTGCATCTTGCTGTTGGCCGCAATGGTCTTTCCGTGGTCCACCGAGCCGTACACAAGCTTCGAGGCAGCGTCTCCCATCAGGATTCCCGGGATAAGACTCTGGGCGATGACACGAACACCAAGGTAGTCCACGACGGTCGTGGCCAGAGTGTGCAGACCCTTGACATCCGCTTCATTAAATGCCTTGACGCCCTGCAGGTCGCGATTGGCAGCGGAGTAGGCATTCTCCTCGCCTCCAGCAGCATCCTTAGTAGACTTACCATCAATGGACACCGAGAAGAAGATGTTGTTAAACACATAGACGTGAGCACTCTTGTCGTCCATGGGATTAATAGGAGGAATGTTCCCCTCCACAATAGCCACTGCACCCTGCGTCGCAGCCTCCACAAACTCCGTCACGATCTTGTACATGACACGAGCACGCACAATCTCCTCCTTGATTGTATTCTTCGGCAATTCACGACAGCATTGGTACTCTTCGTTCCAGTCGCGCAACACACCACGCTCGTCCATGCCATAAGTGGTGCAAAGCTCGTCCTCAGCGCGGTTCAGGTCGTAACTGTGCTCCTCCGTCGCTGTAGTCACAGGCGTGTTCCACGGGAGCTTACCGCCCAGGTTGGAACCAGCAGCCACCATCCATTCAATCGAAGAAGGTCCCTCCTTGGCCAGAGACGCAGCCTTGGTAAGGAGAGCAGCGTATGACTCCCTGAACTTTGGCGACGCATTGCTCAATACGTCCACCAGCAGGTGCGAGTGGGCTGGAGCAGTCTTGTGTGGACGCGGGTCGAACTTGGTGGCCGTCGAGCGGTTGACGAAGAATCCGTTGACGTGCGACGTGATGTGGTAGCGTGTGTTGTCACCAGCAATGACCACTTCCAGGTAGAGCAGGTCGCCCGCCAGCTTGCGCGGTCCTGGAGGCGGGTTGTAGCCCGAAAACACGATGCTCTTGACGCAAGCAGGGAGCTTAGCATCCGGCTGCTGCTCGTGCTCCTTCTGCTGGCTGGTCTCGTTTTGCTGCTGTTGCTTTTGCTTGTGTTGGTTCTTCTTTCCCTTCTTCCCCTTCTTACCCTTAGCAGGCATTTCCGTCTGCTCCGTTTCCTCCTTCACCGTAGGGGTGGCACCAGGGAACGAGTAGAACTCCGAGAGCTCCGGTACAACGGGGATCTCGATGCCCTCGAGCTTGTGGTGAATCTCACGCAGACGCTTGAGCTGTTGTTCCGAGATCTCCTTGAGCTTCTTCTCGTCCACCTCCTCGCCCTCTGCAGGTTCCTCCACCTTGTCGGCAGTCTCCGGTTGGGCCTCGGGTTCCACGGCAGATTGAGGAATCGGGGGGTTGCTCAGCACATCACGGAAGCGACGCACTTGAGCACGCGCCTTGCGGGCGTCGTACTTGTCCAGCACCATGCGCAGCGTGACACCATCCGTCACATTCTCGTACTCGCTGAGCTCCACGAAATCATTAAGCGGCAGCCAGCTGTCATCCGTAAGGCTCTTTGCCTCCAAGTGGTAGCACGTGTAGCATGCAAGCGCTGGAAACTCACCAATGAGCTGGCGAAGTGCTACGACGGTGTCCGAAAGGCTAACACTCTCCAAACGCACAGGTTGGCCGCTCTTACCAGCGGGAGGCGCCACAAGCACACTGAAAGTCGCTTCCTCCATAGCCACGGTCTCTTCCTGCTGCTGCTCCGGCTGTGCCGGCTCGACGATGTCGCTGCTGCCCATGCTGTGGACGGAAATCTTGCTGCTGCTTGCGCTCCGGGGCTAGTTGCGAAAATGCAAGTGCGTTGCAATGTGTGGTGCGCAAACGATGAGCCGGTGAGGCCAGAATGCAAATACAGAGGATTGAAGTTGCCATTTTTATGGTTTATAACTTAGGATTAGTAAGATTTCCGCAAACCTTTCGAAGAGCATGAATATGTTCTTTCTTATTTCATGCGTATTTGGAGAAAAAATTACACACCGAAAAGCCGATCGAACGTAAGTGCTGCCCTGACGTTGATAAAGGTGTTGCCATGAGCATTAAAATCCAGCACGACCTGCTATTAATGCATGCATTGGTGACAACCCAGTGTCCGAGCTGTACTCGTCGAGCATGGGCTTCCACGAGAATTTGCATTTGCTGTGGCTTGAGATCGGGTCGCCTGATCTTGTCCGCATTTGATGGGTATCAAATAAATAGTAGTTTTGATTTCCTTCTCATTTAGTATTGATATCAGTACCAAGATACTATAATATCGATAGTGATATGCTGCTAGCTGTTCGCCGTAGCTTCCTGGCGTTGGGACCTTCGCTGTCACGTCGCCCACTAGCCTCCTTCGGTCTCCGCTCCATGAGCTCCGACGAACGTGCCAAGGCTGATGCCGCGGCCGCCTCGGGCGCTGCCACTGCCGTGGGTGAGACCATCTTCGACAAGATCATCAACGGGCAAATCCCCGCCAAGATCGCGTATGAGGACGAGCAGTGTCTGGCATTTCACGATGTGAACCCGCAGGCGCCCGTGCACATTCTGCTTATTCCCAAGAAGCGCGATGGACTTACCCAGCTCTCGCATGCCGAGGAGCGCCACGAAGCCATCCTGGGCCATCTGCTCTACGCAGCCAAGCTGGTCGCTAAGCAGCAGAACTTGGACAAGGGTTTCCGCATGGTCATCAACGACGGAGAGGACGGCTGCCAGTCAGTCTTCCACCTGCATCTTCATCTCCTTGGAGGACGTAAGTTGGGTTGGCCCCCTGGATAAAGGGCAGACTGGCGTGTAGCGCTCCTGAAGAAAAAAAAGAGAGGAAGGGCATTAAGAATTGCGTTGCAAATTAATGCAAAGCAGTCAATGTGTTGTGGTAAAAGGCAAAACTGGTTGACAATCGTGGTCTACTTTTGTTTTTATCTAGCTGTCCAGAATGTCTGCTCTAGTAGGTCTACCCTCGGCCGCTGATTTCCTTGTGGAATTGGTCCAGGAACGTCTCCATAAAGGCGTGGCGCTCTTCCGCCAGACGCTTTCCGGCGTTAGTTTTCATCATACCACGGAGCTTCAATAATTTCTGTAGGCAGGATAAACCCCACAAAATGTCAGCAGTAAGTACGTAGTCGGCAATTGCCGATGAATGCGTACCTCGTAGAAATGATTAATGGTAGTGTTGGGGCGGTTCGGATCCATGTACTGCTCTTTAGTCATGCTGTCGATCGGGGGAACGTCCGGGTCGTATAGCGGTCGCAGTTTGTGTCCTCCGTACGTGAAACAGCGTGCAATTCCAATGGCTCCAATTGCATCCTGCACACCGAAGGCATGTCAGATAACCCGCGCATTTGAAAACCAGGACATTTATGACCAACAACATACCAGTCGATCGGCATCCTGGACGCAGCCGTACTCGACAGAAAACGAACGCTGACGTGCCAAAATATCGTTAGTCTCAATAAACATAATTTGCCTAGGCAGCCGCAAGAAATATACTTACCGATCCCTTGCCTTCTAGCTCCTCTTTGAATCCCATGCAGTCAATGATGGTCATCACACGTTCAATCTTGTCGTCCGGCACGCTCTCCGACTGCAGGAAGGCCACTGCTCTCTTCGTGGGTTTCTCCTTGTCACTCTGGTACTTCCAGTCGTCAATATCATGGAGCAGCGCTGCCAAGTCCACAATCTCCAAATTCTCTTCAGGCACGCGCTGCTCACAATTCCCCATCAGTTACAGCAAGCACAAACCGGCATCTCCTTTCACACCCACCTCCTCCTGCGCCAGCGTCCTCGCCACTGTCCAGACACGCTCGATATGGCGCCAGTCGTGCGACGCGTCGTTGGTCTTGAGTTGTTGCTCCACGAACGCCGCTGTGCGCTGCACCAGTCGAGATGTAGCCATCTTCATCACTTCAGTCAAATTGTACACTGGCAGCGGGATCACCGCAAGCAGCATGACTCATACCCGCCAATACAAATTTGAGCTGTCATATGTTGGCGCCAAAACCGTGCTTACCTCTGATTGGTCAATAAGATCAATAAACTTCAACGTCCTTTGAAACTCCTCCTTTCAGAGGCTCAGTCTCCAATAAGCACCACAGCCATGAGCAGCTCCCGCGTGAGCTCCAGCCACAGCTCCAGCCATGGGACCAGGAGCGAGAAACCTCGCAAGATTACAGCCAAGGCGGATGAGCTGGACGCTTACATGGAGAAACTCTATGACGATGACGTCGAGTCCAAGCTGGAAGGTGCTAAGATGATTCTGCAGCTCGCGGAGTATGCAGGCAACATCGAGGCCCTCGTGCAGAATGAGTCACTAATGGTACGTAGAGTTTTAAGTAGGGAGTAATATAGTCACTGATAACCGTACTAATCTATGCTCCTTTGTACAGAGCCTGCTGTCGCGTGTGTTGAATGACGACTACAAGAAGAGCTATGACTTCTCGCTTACAATGATACGCATCTTCTGGTGCTTCTCCAACTTCCTACAACTGCATGCATTGCTGGCTAATTACCGCATCGGAGCCATCACGCTCAAGATCGTCGAGTTCGAGCTCAAGCGCCACCAACTACGCCTCGAAGAGGAAAAGATGCTGGAAGCCGCGGCAAAAGAGATCTCAACAGGGGATACCGACTCGATGGACGATATACTAGCAAAACTCGACCGCGAGAAGAAGCGCAACAAAAAGCGCATGAAGAAGCAAGACCAACTACTGTGAGGATGCGAGTCTGACAGCAAGTTAACTGTTCTTGTTGGTCTTTTAACTAACAATTGCACTGCCTTGTCATGCAGCTATGTATGCTTTAGTGTGCTCCTGAACCTAGCGGAAGACATTCACACCGAGCGCAAGATGGTCAAGCGGAAGATTGTGGTCTTCTTGACGAAGGTACTTTGTCCGTCCTCTGTCCTATAGATGCAAGCACTTATTTGCTATGTTTTCTTTGCTTTAAACGGGGAAGATGCTGGATCGTGTAGCGCCTGATCTGGTAATCCTGACTATCACATTTCTCAAGAAGCTGAGTATTTTTGAGGAGAACAAGGACGCAATGGTGGAGCTTACCGTGGTGGAAAAGCTAGTGCGATATCTCAACTGTAACCATGACAAGACCATCCAAACAGCACTCAAGTTGCTGTTCAACTTGTCGTTCGATCCAAATCTTCGCGAAGTGTTGGTGAGAAACAGTCTCATCCCGAAACTCGTGGAGCTACTCAAGAAGCCTCCTTTTCGGGCGCTTTCCCTTCGAATCCTCTACCACCTCAGCATCGACGATCGATGCAAGTCAATGTTTACCTACACAGAGGCAATTCCAATTGTTATGCAACTGGTGATTAATTTCCCACAGAATATTGTGGCGAAAGAGCTAGCTGCGTTGGCCGTGAACCTCAGCCATAACGCACGCAATGCCGAGCTCATGTGCCAAAACCGTGGTCTAGAAGCACTTGCCTCTCGCGTATTTCGCACCCGCGATCCGCTCCTGATGAAGGTGATTCGAAACATTTCACTGTGGTCGTACACGCTGCAAGAGGATCTCGTCAGTGATAAGGCGTACAAGTATCGAGGCATGTGGGCCCCCTTCGTGGTGCCATTCATCGAACTCTGTCTTAACACAGACAACCACGACTTTTCCATTGAAGTTCTGGCAACGCTAGCGAACATGACGCCAAGTGATCTTCCGACAAAGAGTTCCTGGGACAGATTGGTAACAGAACATTCACTTATCCCGCTTCTCAACAAACTCCTCGTCCCGGGCTTTTCACAAGATGACATGATCCTGGAAGTCGTGTTGTTTATTTGCACACTCGCGTTGGAGCCAAAGTGTGCTCCCTTGCTGTCATCATCTCGACTGGTGCGCACACTCCACTCTCTCTTCCAGGAGAAACAGCACGACAACGAGCTCACACTGCAGATCCTTTACGCATTCTATCGCATGCTGCGGCATCCTGAGACGTTTGAAGAGATTCTCTTCGGTGTTGGCTTTGTGCCGGACTTGCTTCTCGCTGCTGATGCGCCGAATATTGAAGTCCGTCGGATGTGCGATGTGCTCATGGACTTGATTCTTGATCATGACCTCAATGACGGAGGAACCATCGGGGACTTCGGCCACCTCATTCGACAGCGTAGGTTTGAGATCCACAATGCTGAGTACCTCGAGATGATCCACGCGGAAACGCACAGCGCAGTATTCCGACAACACCACAGAATGGACGATGACAGAGGCAAGGACGACGACGATGACAATCACTAACTAGGTTGTTACCGATCATAATTGTACGTCTCAAGCCAAACATAAAACAAAAATTCAACTACCCGCAATTCTGTTTCCTCACGACTTTAGCCAATTCTCTTCTTCGTCAAGAATCCAACCACACTCTTACGATCAATTCCAACGCGAGGCAAAGCTTTCTCTGGCCAGTAATTGTTGTGTTCGCTATTGATGGAGGCTCCAGGTGGGATCACATACATGTTGTACGGGCATTCAGGCGAAATCTTCAATGCGAGTGCTCGAGAGTTGTGCTTCCGCTTGTCCGAATAGCGGACGAGTTGTCGCACAAACTTCCAGTGATCATACACGGACTCCAAGTAGAAAAACGCCATTGCCGATTCGTGGAGGTTGCGAACTTCAGTCTCCAATCTCTCCATTCCCACTGTTCCATCCTGCTTTGCCACGATGCTTCGGCTCTCCGGAAACTGTTCGGGTGCCATCCCGTCGCGCGTATGGCACCAGAAAGCATCGACACGAAACTCGTGAAAGCCTTTAGTATCGGACGCGTCTTGAATTTCAAAAAGGCACGACCAAGCGACGGCGTTCCTGGTCACTGGCAGCTCACCATCGATCGCAATCTTCTCATCGTCTCCGTCGTTTGGCTTCGTATCAAGACCACAATCGATCAAATCAAACAAAAACTGAGCTGCCCTCCACTCAGCCAAGCGACGAGCATCCGCCTCGGTATCCCACGTAGCCCGACAAAGCACATGGTCATCAACGCGTACAGCGCAATGGGCGCAAGAAGTTGTGCGAGAGTTTCGAGCAAAGGACGTGCGAGGCGGGTCCTCCACTGTAGTTATGATCTGGAACAAAATAAATTTACAAAATTTTTAGTTCGGAGCTGTAATAGGAAGCACATGGACACGAGTTACATACACTGGCGATGCCTGACAACTTAAGGTCCCGAAAGGAGTCGATTGGTGAGGCATATGCAAGAGATTTCACGTCCAGGAAGTGAAGAAGCTGTGCCCAGATCGACCGAATCCTGTTCAGCTTGTTTAGCATACCGTCGACAGCAGCATTGCAAGCATCAGACTTGGACACCTCCGACGCCTTGAAATGAATGACATCATTGACATCGACATGAACTTCATAGGTGCCTTCTCGAAGACGCTCCATCCTGATATTCGCTGTAACATTGGGAACAATTCTTTTGTTTTCGGCTCCACGATACTTCAGCGATGCCCGAAGTCGATTGATTCCAGCGCAAAGGTCGTCTGTAGGAGTGAACAGACTACGGATTGCAGCGCGGAACTTGGCATCATCGGACAGATTACTCTCGCAACGTTCGTCATATTCCTTTTTCAGCTCATTTTCGAAAGCTATAGTCTGTTGTGACACGACGCGAGCATCTTCTGCCGTTTTAACTCCAGAAGGTTCCCAGTCATCGTCATCGTAACCATCCGAGTAGTTATCGAAGTCATCATCATCATCCATCTCATCGTCACTGCACAATATGAGATTAGTCTTCTTGAGTGGAGTTGATGCCGATGCACTCCTCGCCGTAGACTGTGATGCTGCTGCAGTGCTCGCCGTATTGGAGCTTCCATTTGAGGAAGCGGACTTCAACTTGTTCAGAGATTCCAGAATGTCACGCCACCTTTCATTGGCAGAACGCTTCGCATCTTTTGCGTTTAAACATGCCGTGGAAATGGCGAGCGTGTCGCGGACCTTAATAAAATACATGGAAAGCGGGGGAACCAGCTTTTCCGACGCTGACACCTACAACAGAGTGCGTGCACAGAAAATACAGACAATTAGGTTTTCATCATACCGTTACCACCGTGGACGTAGTCTTACCTTGTCATGATTCTTCGCTTGAGTCTCATTACCAGCCATCAAAGTGGTTGGAGTTTGCTTCAGTCGGTCATTATAGGTTGCAAGTAGTGCCTCCCACGTCTTGATCATCCCATCCAGAGTAGTAATCAGAATCGAAGTCGCCTTATCCTTCGCGACTTCTATAGACGGCCCTTCTCCACAAGCCTCGACCACGCCTTCAGATGCAGTGAGTACGCACCTAACAAAACCATTTTGCTGTGTGGCGGTCCGGCAGATCTACAAGTTATAAGCGCACACAATAAACCAATCAATATACAGTCTGAAGATCAGGCTTGAGTGCTTACTGTAAAACTCGGCGATAGCCTAATTGTCTCCGTCTTAGCACCCAGATTCCACACAATCGCTCTGATGGTTCCAACAACCTTTTCTCGATCTCGAAAGAGTAGCATTAACAGCTCTTGATACACGTCCGACTTCGCCTTGGCGACCACATCTTCAGACCGTGCAGGTGCATCACGAGTTGGATCGGAACCGCTTCGGTCCTCCATAAACAAACTTGGTGGACTCGCCGCTGCTTCAGCATTATCTTGTCGCTCGGCGTAACTTCTATCGGGTGGTACATACGCAGGTGCTTGCGGTTCTGGGGCTGAATACGATAAGCGGGGACGAGGAGCACCACGCTCGTCTTCATAACACTCTTCATCGTGTGGGGCATAGCGCCGCTTTTTCAAAATACCCATAGATCGTAACTCTGTGACCCTGTTATCACCATTTTCAAAGCTCCCCGCGTATTCGTGTACGTCGGCCATCCCATCGTAACCAGTTTCGTGGACGTCAACCATTTCATCGTACCTATTCTCCTCATCGTGATTATAAACGTTATCTTGGTGAGGCTGAGTACTTTCACTTGTGGGTTCAGATTCACTCTTAAATTGTTCTGCGCGGTCCCGCGTCTGGCTCTCCTCGTACTGATCGATCAATTCCATCAGAAACACCATGAGTGCGTCGACAACTTCGCTTTTTGTGCTCGGGAGAGACGAGCCTCGCCTACAAATGAGAGGAAACTCTTGGATGTGTGCAACTACATCATAACTGACGTTGTTAGGATCCCCACTGGGCTTTTCATGAAACTGTGCAGAGCAAGGAACATATTAAACTTCACAAATTCACAGATCCATGCCTCGGAATGAAAGCAAACGTACCCGCACAATCTTTTTCGTGACAAGATAGCTGAAGGTCGCGTCGTTTACCTTCCGGGTGTCATTCTCTTTGCAGAAGCCAAAACGAGTCTTCAAATACGACAGCATCTCACTGTACAATCTTCGATGTTCCCTCACTGCCCTTATCAGCCTTGATAGTGCACCGAAAGTGGCATCTCGATCAATTGTACCAGAGCAATCGAACGATAAGTGCCCTAAACGGACACGCGCGATATACTGAGTTCCAGCCTTCTTCAATTCGCGTCGAAGCTGGTTAAGAAAAAAACTCAGTCACATTGTAGCACTTAACATCATACTATAAAATACGATGCGCACCTTAAGTCCTGCCGCCAACGTAAAGTCCTTGCTCATCGACACCAATGACACAGTTTGAACAGCACTAGCCAACTCTTCAATCGATGACACAATGTCAACGTTAGGGCTGACCAATGCCAGAAGATACGATCGGCCTTCATCACAACCGAAGGTCCTGGGTTTGGCAATAGCGCTAACATCACTCTGTTGTCCCTGCTGAGGCTGGAGAGAAGGGCTCGGGGTCGGTGTTGTAGCTTCAGAACGCGTAGAGTTTTGTTTTGGAGCTCTAATATGCGGCGGCGTATCAGAATCCATAGCAAACGTTACTCTTTTCTTCACGAGAGCCCCCGACGTAGATGATTGTGGTCGTTTCTGACGCAGAATTGAAGTAGTGTTTGACAGAGCAAGAGGATCACTATTGTAACTCTCGTTTTCTGGTTGTTCAGGTAGCATATCCACGGCCATGTTTTCCACTGGTTGTTCCAGACTCTTTTCATCGGCCATGACGACATCTTTATCCACCGAATCCTCCACTTCTTCGGCTGTGATTGCATCGTACCACATGAGAAACTTGTCGGTAAACTGGAAGGTCTTGTCCTCCATTAACGTTTTTCGCGCGTCGCCAGTCATAATCTTGACGTACATCAACATCCTTTTAGCTGAGTGCAGTCGCTGCACTGCCAATCGATCCTGCTGGATCATTGCATCGTAGCGCTTCACTAGCTGTTGGTGATGGGTTATTATCTCGTCTAACATACGCAGCATGCGTCCTGGGGTGTGCCCCTGTCTCGAATCCGGCTGTACTGCATTCCCCATTCGAATAAAGCGCAGCACCACCGTCCTTGAGGTAGATCTGTCCTTCTCCTGCTTGATGCTGACCTCTGTACCCATAGCTGCTACGTCCTTATGCATCTGTTTAAGCTTCCTGGGGCAAAGGAGGAAATCCTGGACGTCCATGCCAACGAAATAGTCATAAGGCTCGATGGTATAAATGGGAGTAGCGCATCTGCCAGCCACTTTATCCACAAACTCCATTGGATATTGAGGCGCCTCAGTCTTCTCCACTTGGAACACGTGAGCGTTCATGGGAGCTGACACCGAGATGCCAAAGTGTGTGGACAACTCCAGGTTCGGGAAGGGCCTGCGAGGCAGTGAGTAGTGGACCTCGTAGGCATGACCTAGCGATAGCAGCTTCCGCGCAGCAAGAGCGACCTCCATGCGCCACAGACGCACACTCATGTCAAAGGCCAGAGCCTTGTTGGTCTCGGGCAGAGAGAGCGGCGAGTCCGCGCTCTCCTCCAACGGACCCATGATCGACGAAAAGATGATGGCGGATTTACTTTTGACTGCTTCGACACTGGCGGCATACAGAACTGCGAGAGCTGATGGTATCTGAAAACGGAGGTATTGGATTTCACAAGGCAACTTCAACTCACTCGAGGGACGAGACGATGATGAAGAGAAAAAAAAAATGCGTTGTTGCAGGATAGGATGGCCGCACAGATTCAGCGCAATGTTGAGCGATATGCTAGCAACGGTGATAAATTGTTGTTGAAGTCTCTAGCTCTGACTTCTAAGCGCTATTCCATGAGGAAGATACGGCTAGCTACATCGCCGACGAGCCAGTCGATGCCGTCCACAAGGCCATCTCCAGTGACGGCGCTACAGGAAATAATACTCCAGTGTCGGGTTGAGAACTGAGCTGAACGCAAGCCCAACGCATCTGCGATCTCTGCGGAGGAGAGTGCACCAGGTAAATCCTGCTTATTGGCGAAGATCAGCAACGTAGCTCCAGCTAGTTTCTAAAAAAGCATTATAGTAGCAGATGAGCTTTCGAGAAGCAAATAAAGGGAGGAAGGCAATAGCGAGATGCAGCACCTCTTGGGTCAACAGACTTGTAAGTTCACGCTTGCAGTCCTCAAGCCTCCGTCGGTCGGCGCTGTCCACCACCCACACGAGGCCATCCGTCTGGAGGATCGGCCACAGACACACACAATTTTTAGCATGATTTTCACACTCGAGCAACGCGTAAGAGCATGAACCTGTTCAAAGTAGTTTCTCCAGTACGAGCGGATTGTCTGCTGACCACCGACGTCCCATACATTTAATTTAAAGCTGCGGTAAGAGTAGCCGCGTGCCATTCCAGTTAGACTGCTGAGATCGAGAGGTCCAGCATCAACAATTTGCCACATGTTACGTACTCCTTGTATTCGAGCGTCTGAATGTCGAAACCCAGCGTAGGTGAGATCTCAGTGATATCCTGACCCATAAACTTCTTCAGGATCGTCGTCTTGCCAGCATTGTCCAGACCTCTGGTGAGCCAAATCAAGCCGCACAGGTTTCAGTAAACGGACAAAGCAACGAGTCAGACGCATGGACGCACAGCATGAGGACGCGGATCTCCTTTTCCTTCTCCTTGACCTTCTTGAGGATACTCAGCAGTCCCATGGCGGCCTAGCTCTGGTGTCGCTGGTGGCTCAATGATCGCGACTCGTTATTGCAATATTTACCGTTCAGTATTGCAAATTTTGCCTTACGAAGAGGCACGAAACGACACGATATTCATGTGCAGGTTACAGCAGTTGCCGCCCGATACCCATGACCAAGGCCATTCCACCCAGCCGTTTACTGCTGACGAAGCTCGATGGCAACCAGGAGGATGCGCACACACCGGAGCCTAGCAATCGGTCGTCAAAATTTTATTTTCCTCTGCAGCAAGAGCCGTCTCCAGACTGTGACGACGACACAGCGACAAGAGATACAAGCACACCCACATCACTGAAAGATCTTTTGGATCTAGAGCTAGATTTGGTTCTCCCTGCGAATGCAATCGCAGCGCCACTCAGTAATCAGCTACCGTCTTCTGCACCGCAGGATGAAAAAATGGAGTCTGATGACAACTCTGTTTCGTTGGAGCTCCTGGTGAGTGCGCATGATTGACATCGAGTTGATTACAACAACTATTTGCATATAATTGGGTCTTTTGCTACCACAGGCGATGCAGAGCCCACACGGCGAGAACCAACAGTGGCAGAACAACGGTGAAGAAGAAGATGAGCAACATGTGAAAGTCACCCCAAGTGCAGTCCCGGAACATTCCCCCCAACGCAAGATGAGAGGGGTGACGACCTCTAGGAAACCAATGTCGCTGAATATTGCCTCGCCGACGGCGTTTATTCCATCGTTCCCTCCACTGCCCACCCTGCAGTCTACAGACGACGACTACGGGTTAGCTTCTCCTATGGCGTTGCCAGATACACCTTCGCAAGTTCAACTAGGGATTAGCTTTTCTTGGGATATTGACCCAACTTCTTTACAGTCTGAAGAAGTACACACAAGAGGAGAAGGTTCTCGTTGTCGTGTACAATCCAAGAGCGTCCAAAAACCAGAGCGACGAGCCTCATCGGCTTCGGTTGGGAACAAAGCTGCTACACCAAACCCAAAAAATTACGCACCGACTAGATCAACGTCAAGAATGACGAGATCCTCACTCCCAGCATTGCCGGAATTTCGAAAGAAGGCGAGGCATGGCGGGATCTACTCGTTGTTACTGAAGAACACATCCGTGAAACAAGAACCAGTCCTCGTAGAAGATGCACACAATCCTGAAGGTATGTTGCGTCGCCGTGTTTTATCTAGTAGCGCTGCCTTGGTTAACTCCGTGGTTGACACTATCCCCTACAGAAATAGCGACGGCGCCATCCACGTCCAAGGTGAGAAACGAGAATATTTTCATACCGACAGCGCTAACACGAAACCTTGTGCGTAGATGTCACCTCCACGTACGTTCAGCCAGCAAAAGCATGGGGGTATTTATAAGATGCTTCGAGGTAAACATGGGCCACGTTAAAGCACTTCGATCTCAATCAATTACCTTGGTCTTGCCAAATTGGCAGCTTTTCACGTTTTGCCTATCAAGTGGATTTTTTGTCGGGTTACAATCATTCCAGCATAATAATTTTGCATTTAGTAAACTAGTTGCTTGTTGAATTTGTCATTTTACAAGATGAACCGCATTTTCGGCAAGAAGAAACCCGAGACGCCACCCGTTAATATCTCCGATGTGGGGGGAAAGGTGGATGCCCGGGTCACCGACTTGGACATGAAGGTGCGTGACTGTTGCTCTGTCCGCTCGGTTCCACAGGAGACGCAGTGGTTGCTGACTTGTTGTCGGCGCAGATCGAGAAGCTGGACCAGGAGCTCCGCAAGTATCGCGAGCAGATGAAGAAGACACGGGGACCAGCCGTCAACTCGATAAAGCAGCGAGCCATGCAGACGCTCAAGCGCAAGAAAATGTTCGAGGCGCAACGCGATAAGCTGCAGGCTCAGTCTTTTAATATTGAACAGGTGGGATCACCGACGGCTGTGCTGTACCAGGCTAGTCTTTGCTTCTGATATTCTTGTTATCGTCTTCCAGGCGGCATTTGCCATAGATACATCAAGAGACACGATCTCTACCGTCGCTGCCATGAAGAGTGCCGCAGTACAGCTGAAGGCAGAGACCCAGAAAATCGACATTTCGGAACTGGAGGTGGGTAGACGAGGGTCATGACATTCGAAGCTTAATTATCGGGTCGATTATATGTACTGTGTGGTTTGATACAATGCAGGACGTGCAAGATGACATGGCCGACCTAATGGAGGATATGAACGAGATTCAAGAGATTATGGGTCGTTCCTACGGGTACGCACACATGGAAGTCGCACCGGCGCAGGTGTACTCTTGCAGAATTGTTTCTAACGTCACGATATTGTCATCGACCTGCAGGATTGGTGACGAAATCGACGAGGACGAACTGGAGGCAGAGCTGGAAGGGCTGGAAGAAGAATGGGCTGAGGAGGAGGCACTCGGAGAGGACGCAGAGGCTGCCCCATCCTACCTTACGCCCGCTCAGCATCACGAGTTGCCTGCTGCTCCCTCGGGAGCTTTAGACTCTGGCAGGACGGCTCGCGCCACCGACGAATTCGGCCTTCCAGTTGCGTCCTACTCGACGTAGCGCTGGGATTCTTTAACACCTGCCACACATAACAGAGATCCTATTGACTTGGTTGGATCTCTGTTACGTTCGGTAGTACCGGGAATATATTTCAGCATCTGCAGCCACCACTTGCTTGGCCACGCACTTGTCAAATGGGAGAGACGGGTACACACCACGTCGGTCGCGTCAGTGCGAGCCACGCGATTGGCCGAGCTAAGACAGCCAATCGTTTCTCGATATCAAATTGGAAGGGGGAAGTGCGACTTGAGCAGGATATGTGTTCTGGAGCCACAGTTACAGTACCTTGTTTATCTAACTTCATTGGTATGGAGTTATAATATTTCACAAACGTCTGAGGTTTTTATTCAAGTCGAGGTTTTATCCTTCTCTGCGCCACGCATTTGCTTGGCTCACTTTGGTATTGGTGGTTTTGGCGCACAGCTCTTCGTCCAGACAACAGAACTCCGCAACCATGGCTCGTGAGAAGAAGGAACCGCGCGTGAAGAGAGAGCGTAAGGGCAAGAAGGAGTCGCGCAAGAAAGCGGCTGAGGAGAAGAAAGCTGCTGAGAAGGCCGAGGCGCTTGAGAACATGTCGCTAGCCGACCGCCTCGCCGAGGAAGGCATTATCGCCACCTGCTCGCACAATGTGCGCTCTGTCCACAAAAACTTCAAGGACATTAACGTGCTCAACTTCAGCATCACATACTTCGGCAAGGTGCTCATGGAAGAGTGCGACATTTCGCTTAACTATGGCCGTCGCTACGGTCTCATTGGCCGCAACGGTTCTGGTAAGTCTACCTTCATGAACGTGCTGGGTGCGCGTGGCATTCCCATCCCGGAGAGCATCGATATCTACCACCTTAAGCACGAAATCGAAGCTAGCGACATGACGGCGCTCGAGGCCGTGCTGTCTGTCGACGAGGAGCGTAACAAGCTCCAGGCTGAAGCTGACTTGCTCTCGGAGCAGATGACCGACGAGTCTCTCAGTGAGGAGGAAAGTGAATCCATCTCGGACCGCCTCACGGACCTGTATGAGCGTCTCGACGACATGGATGCCGCTACGGCCGAAGTCCGTGCTCGCCAGATTCTTGCTGGTCTGACGTTTTCTGACGCTATGATGAACAAGAAGACCAAGGAGTTCTCTGGTGGTTGGCGTATGCGTATCGCTCTCGCTCGTGCTCTGTTCATTCAGCCGACGCTTCTGCTACTCGATGAACCGACCAATCACTTGGACATGGAGGCTGTTGTCTGGCTTGAGGACTATTTGTCCAAGTGGAAGAAGATTCTGCTCATGATTTCGCACTCGCAGGAGTTCATGAACGAGGTCTGCACGAACATCATTGACCTCACCAACAAAAAACTCGAGTACTATGCCGGTAACTACGATACGTACGTGCGTACGAAGGCCGAAAAGGAGGAAAACCAGATGAAGCGCTACAACTGGGAGCAGGACCAGATCAAGCACATGAAGGAATACATTGCCAAGTTCGGTCACGGTTCCGCCAAGCTTGCTCGTCAGGCTCAGAGTAAGGAGAAGACGCTGGCCAAGATGGTGCGTGAAGGTCTTACGGAGAAAGTCGAGAAGGAGTCGATGGGCGACTTCAAATTCCCCAACCCGGAGCCGCTGCCGCCTCCGGTGCTTATGTTCCAGAACGTGGCGTTCGGTTACCCGAACTGCCCTCTGCTGTACTCTGGCGTCGAGATGGGTCTGGACTTGGACTCCCGTGTCGCTCTTGTTGGTGCTAACGGTACTGGTAAGACCACGCTGCTGAAGTTGATCACAGGCGACTTGGTGCCTGTTGCTGGCAATGTTCGACCACACAGCAAGTTGCGTATTGCTCGTTTCAGTCAGCACTTCGTCGATGTGCTGGATCTGTCCAAATCTCCGCTTGAATACTTCCGTTCGCTGTTCGAGACTAAGTCGGTTGAGGAAGTGCGAAGCTACCTGGGCCGATACGGTATCACCGGTGAGGTGCAGACACAGATCATGGGTCAGTTGTCTGACGGTCAGAAGAGTCGTGTTGTGTTCGCTTACATGGCACAGCAGAACGCTCACATGCTGCTGCTTGATGAGCCAACGAACCACTTGGATATGGAGTCGATCGATGCGCTGGCTCGCGCCATTAACAACTTCAAGGGTGGCATGCTGCTGGTTAGTCACGACATGCGATTGATTTCCCAGGTTGCCAAGGAGATTTGGCTTGTGGAGAACCAGTCTATCAAGGTGTACCAGGGCGAGATCTCCGACTTCAAGATGCGTGTGCGTAAGCAGCTCAAGCTGGCGGACAAGGAGCCCGTCAAGCCTGCTGACGAGTAAATGCGCTCGCCAGTTGATCGCTCATTAGATGCTTGCTACATGTAGAACTGCTGTGGCGATACCGTCGCCATTCTGTTCATATTTGATTCTGTTTGCCAACTGATAAAGCATAGATTGGAAAATCAGACGTTGGCTCTTGATATCCTTTTTCTTAAACTTAGTCTTCGTCTGCTTGGTTGTTGTCCTCGTGGCTGTCTGCATCGTTGCTGATTCTTATAGCACTAACCGAACAGTGGACAACTGAATTGGTGCTGGATTGCTCGTCTTCGTCGTCTGTGTCTCCGTCGCTTTCCTTACCACCGCGTTGTCTGTACAGTGACGCTGGAATGCTGACAAAATTGCTCGACGTAAGTCCACTTGACAGACGGCTGATCCAGGACGTACTATTGATTCGACTGCCATTGTGTCTTCTGATCAATTGCTGACGGTGGGTTCTACCTGCACTTCTTGCTCTATTGAAGAAACGCAAGTGCTGATTGTCCACGAGAACGCAGCCACAGCTCGCATCGTCGCCTAGACCATGATCCTTCGACGTAGAAAATATGGTGATGACACGTGCAGAGTTACTAAAGGACAGTCCCTCTCGAGCAGCTTCGTGAGCTCTCAAGATGCGAGAGAAGCCGTATTGACCTAGAAACTGGTCAATTGCTCGGGACCCGAAGCGCACAGCAACTCCACCGCGCGGGCTCTTGCCGAAACCTTTAGAGTCCAGCCTCCAACTGCTTGCCCGTGTCAAAGACTCTTCGTTTCGAACCGGATCGCCCCAGATCATGTCTGCGATCATGGATAGTTGCGGTTTACCAGCATAGAACGCAATATCCAAGGTGTCTAGCGATGCTGCTGTTGGCAATTTCGCCATCGTCTCAAGAAGGTCCTCATTTTCGTCAATCGGTCTTGGAATCCCACCATGCACACAGAAAACATCGTTGTCAATGACCGCAGCGACAGGCAAGCGATCGAATGAGTTATTGAGCTGGTGCCAGATGACAGAACCTTCACTTGTTCCGAACCGTGCCTTGCACTGTGCCAGTAAACACCCAGAACCGTAATGCGCCTCAAGGCCATTGACAGCACGAGTTTCGTGATTGCCTCGTAGCAGAAAAATCTTGCCTGGGTAGAGAAGTTTGTGTGCGAAGAGGTAGGCTATGCATTCAAGGGATGAACTGCCGCGGTCTACGTAGTCGCCGAGGAAGAGGAAGCTACCCGCTGTGAGTTCCAGCCCGAGGTGCCAAATATTATCCGCGAAGAAGCGCAAGTCGGTCCAGTTGCCGTGAACGTCGCCGAATACATACACCGGACTAGGTAGATCCAAACAACGAGCTTCAGTCTCCAGTATTGCACCAACCTGAACGCTTAGCTCAACAAGGTCAGCAGCAAATTGAAGAGAACGCAAATAAGGCTGAGTCGTCATCATGGGGTCCGCCAATGCTGCAAGCACTCGTCGTGCTACTGCAATCTCGCCAGTGGCAGGAATGGAAAATGGTCGTAGAGACGCCAATACCTGCGCCGACTTAATACTTCCCAGGCGGTCAATTCGTCCGGATGGCTTTACGCCTGAGTCCGTGATGGAGTACACGGTTGGAACAAGCGTGTGCGGTGACGATGCCGTAATTTCTGTTGACGCTTGATACGTCGTTCTGGAGTTAGCGCTTGTGGATTTTTCTGGAGACGTTGAACGACTCGAAGACGCTGCCGAAGCAAGCTGCTGCTTGAGAAACGCGATCTCCTTATCCGTCTCCAGCTTCAAGGCAACATACGAGTCACGAAGTTTCTACAAGCAACACAAACAATGTTAGTCCACTGTAACCAGTATTCAAGATGTGACATTATACTAACCTACCTGAAGTTCTCGCGCATTTTGCTCTTCGCGCAGAAAGCAGGCTTTAGTGCAGCGCGTCGGGGACAGACTATCGAGTACATTGCTCTGCGGGGGGCTGGTCTGGTGCTGGTGAAGCTGTTCTCCAATACTGTAGCTCATCTTAACCGTTTCTTTATGTTGCTCGATGCGTGGAGTTAGAACGATAATGTCCACGGTGAATGATAGATAGTGGCGTCATGCAGCTCCGAGGTCTTCCGCTTTGAGTTCCTTGCTCCAGAAATAGACGTAGTAGGAGACGTAACGACAAAGTGACCAGCTAAAAAAATCTTCGCGAAAAGTTATCCCGTCTAGATGCGTTGGTGGGTGGTGGCGTTTGTAAGTCTGCTGGTGGTTAGCTTGCCGCATCTAGAATGTGGCCGAGCGAGAACAATCGATTATGATGCACTGGAAAAAGCGTGGGAGGCCGGGGATGAGGAGCAGGAGCTGCGTACGGAAGGAGACGAACACTATCGACAACTTACAGACAAGTATGTGCACAAACAACAGAAATACAGTAGGTACTCACTTTCGTACCATTATTCAGGAATGAGGAGGAGGCGAAGGCACTTGGACCCCAAATGATATTCGCCACACTGACAGACGAACATGAACTCCTTTCTGAAATTGCGTCACGCTGGAAAGAGGTGAACAATTTTGCAACTCTATCATCATCCAGCTATCTTACAATTGTTTTCTTGCTGTAGATGATGTGGAATGGAGGTATCGAGGTCAACATCTACGAAGTGGCCAATTCCAAGTTGCTCGTCGGACTGCAAAAGGGGATTTTTCTAAGCGATGTCATGAGGTTCCTCGACGAGCAGAACGAAGTGAAGGAGTACGAGTGGAATGGCAAAGCGTACTCGAAGGACAACCACAAAGGAAATCACCACAAGAAGGATACCAAAAAGCTTCAACGAAAAAAGACGAGGGGACGAGGCACTAAAGACTCAAAAGTCTCGAGGAAGCGCCAAAAATCTGTGGATACGACAGAGAAGCACGACGAACTGTAGTTTCTCATTGAAATCCAATGATACCAGAACTTATCACTGTAGTCAATCCACCCACCATTCCACCTTCGCTCTGACCGTTGTCACGACGTCAGTCGTAGACCTCAGTTACTCGTGCGCTCACTTCGAATATTTTCCAGAAGCGGACCCAGCATTTTATTCTTCTTCGCGTTCTCCATCACTGCATTCAGTCTTGGGTGCGAGTCTGTGTCTCGCACAGCGCTGATAGCATCGAGAGCACGCAACGCGCTGCGGATGAGGTCTTTGACGCGCTCGACCTCGGGGCCAACCTGGTCTTCTTTCACCTTCTTGTTGATCGTCTTCTCTAGCGGCTCCACCAACGAATCTAGCGCGCCGACAATACTGCCAGGCTGCACGTAGCAGATCTTGATCAAGATCTGATGGCTGAGCATCTGGATATCGTCCTGATCTCCCAGACCTCGTTTCAGCTGATCAAAGAACAAACTGATATCGAGTTGCTGCGGCAGCACCTGGATCAAAGTTTCCACACACGAGTACGCAGCCTTACGAAGAGGGAGACCATCATCCACCTTGTGCTTGAACGGACCGAGATCCACCACACGCTCCAACTTGATTTCAGTCGTCTTCAACAGGACGGGGAAGATGCGTTCTCGAACGTATGGCACGAGATAGTGTGCGTGGTGGTGAGCAGCCGTGTTGAGCACCAGTAAGGCAGCACGACGCACGTGTAGATCTTCTTCGTCTTCAAGAGCAGCCAAGAAGGGATCGATGTGAGCGAAGATCGCGTTGACTGCTGGCTCCTGAGCTGTCGTTGTCATCGCGTATTTGAGACTTGTTACTGCAGTCCAACGCGACCAGACGTCTGAAGATCCACACAGATCCGTCACAATCGGCATGATCTTCGCGCTGTTCGTCACAGCGAGCTTGCCCATGCATTCGCCTACCATATTCCGCACACCCTCTTCCTGACGCGCACTCATCTTCTGGAGAACAGGAAGGACACGGTCCACATACATAGCGAACCCGTGATGCGGTTGGGCGGCATGGTCCGAGATGACTTCGCGCAGCGATGTCAGAAGCAGATACGAGTTCTCTCCAAGCTCCAACTTGACCATGATGGTGTCCAGATACTCTTCCATGTTTCCGACGCAAATACTACCAAGGGAGTACGCAGCTGCCGCCTTCACTTCTTCGCCCGCATTGTTAAAGCACTTGAGAATAAGCTCCTTCACGTCAGTGTATCCAGCCAGCTTGATCTTGCGACCGAATTCGCCCAAACAGTAGAGCGCCAGGACTTTATTCTTTTCGGACTCAGTTTGAGTAATATCACCGACGAACTTTGCGAAAGCCAGCTTACGATTCGCTTCCGTCGTTGCCACGCATGTACCGGCAACACATCGTGCAATGTTCAACACAGAGTGTTTCGATTCTTCAGTAGGTGTAGCCATCAATGCCTTGAACAGCTCTGGGAAGCTGCTGCCAGGGGAGTTCAACTGCGTCAGCTGTGCGAAAAGGCCCTTCAGCGCGTCTAGAGTGGGGCCCTGAAGCATGGAACTATGGCACAATTCCAGTGCCTTCACTTGAGCATTCTGTAGAAGCGCATCCGTTGAGGCAACGCGCGGGCATACTCGAAGCGAGTTTGACACCAGTGTAATGCTCATGCGACACAGCTGTAGGTCCACGTCAACAAGAAGTATCGAGGCTTCCAGTACCACTTCGCAGTGTAGACTCTCCGGCATGTTAGCACCCTTGCTAACGACCAGATCATTGAGAGTGGCCAATGTTGCTTGCTTCAATGTGCGCGACTGCTGACGAAGCAGTTGAGACAGAGCTTGAGTGCACTCCACGAGAATGGGCGACATATCCAAGTTGAGCTTCGAGCGAGCAATAACTCCAATGGCCTTAATACTTTGGACACGAGTGATTTCGTTGTTGAGACGCTCCATGAGCAGTGGATAAACTTCTCCGACACGTCCACCAAGCTCATCACCTTCAACCGCAACACAATAATTGTTAGTATTACAACTCACCGTCAACTATACAACCTACTAACTCACCGAGTACAGCAACAATTTCTCCGATACTGCTGATTGCAGCCTCCTTAATTTCTTGATCGATGTCATGAACCTTCAAGCTAGGTAGCACCGCCTCGAAGAAAGGAACCGCGTACGGCTTGTACGTCGCATCTCCATCATCACAGCGGATGATGCGGACTAAAGACTCAATCAGTCCAAGTGCCTTTGCCACGGTTTTATACCAGTCCCCCTTCGCACACTGTACGGCAACCTGCACGACAGATTCAAGATGCGGTCGGAACGGCTCCACCGTGTGCGTATCCACGAGCAGCCGAAGAAACAGAAGCGCATCCAGCTTCAAATCAGAGTGCTTGTCTTCCACTGCATTGAGAATGTTCGGCATCAAACGACCGATGTAGTCTCCCAGCTTCCCATGCTCTACCATCGCAAGTTCACTCAGCATTGCAACCACGGCACACCGCGATGGAACCGAAGCCTTCATGCCAAACTGCTTATTGGCTCCTACAACTATAGCATTCAAGCGCTGCTCCAACTGCGTAACACAGGCGTTCGCTGTGGCTGGGTGGAAGGAACCAGATCCATTTGAACTCGGGAGAGTTTTGCGGGTGGTACGAAGAAGTTCTGCAAACACCGCAAACACGTCGATACGAACGTTTTCTTCTCGCTCTTTGAAGCGCGAAATCAATGGTTGCGCGCAGTGAATGTAGAGGTGCTCCAAAAGTTCTGGTCTCGTCGTGATAATTGCCGTTAGAACACGAAGAGTAGCGCGACGAACCTTCCAGCTAGTGTCGTCATCGTCACTGTAGTCACCCTCATCATCACTGTATTCCTCTTCTTCCTCCTCCATGTCTTCATCTTCATCGGCTGAGTTCACGTAGTTGTAATTGGGGTCGTAGGGGATAAACTGCATCACAAGCTTTAGGATAACCTCCACATGAGGCGTGATCTCGTTGTGGCATCGAATCACGAACGCCTCAAACGCCTGAAAACAGTTTCCGCGCAGTTCGTCCGAGTCTTCGTTCTGTAGCGACTCATCCTCGGGATCTCCGCAGAATTGCACCAGGATGCGAATTACCGCGTCCAAGTGCTGTCCAAGGCGGTGGCCTGCCGTTCGAGAGAGCATTCCAATAGTCTGAATCAGTGTGCGCACGTTCGATGAGTCGGTGGATCCTTGAATCCCCTTGATCAAGTGCTCCACCAAGCGGCTCACGAGAACATCAGACGCCATGACACCCAGTGAACCAACACAAGCAGTGGCACGTTTGCGCACCAGCGGCGACTCATCCGTCAGCTGAGCCATCAGCAACTCCATGATCGTCGCGTGTTCCGTGGCGACGTCGTAGCCAAAGCGACGCAGTAGATCTGTGAGGATATCGAGCGTCTCAGCCTTCACAGCGGCGTCCTTGTCCTTGTTCAAACCCGTTAGAAGACGTGTGCAGATGCCAGTGGCAATGGACGCCCCCGTAGTCTGGGAGACGTCAGCTACAATGGTCTTGAGCCCGATCGAGTAGATGTCACGGAGCTCCGACTTGCCGTTGAGGATGAGATCACAGAGCTTGGCGCATATATCGGCTACCTGGGACACCTGTACTTTAGTAACCAAAATGCCCAGACACTTGACGGCAATGGACTGCACGTCGTTCGACTTGTCGTCCAGCTGCTTCAGAACCGCCGCACACACTCTGCAACGCAGCATACACAACGAGTGAATCCTAACTCCTCAGCTACGACACCTAGTTAATGCGTTGTGCGTACTTTGGCTCGAGATACGGCCCCAGGTCGACGTCCTTGTTGAGCTCGACACATAGATCCGATGTAGCCATGTAGCGTTCATCCTTGTCAAAGTCCGTGGTCTGTAAACTCATACAGAGTGAAGTCATCATCAGAGCGAGCCTCTTCGATATGCAAGATGCCAACAGTGCATCGCACCTTGTCCAGCAGCTGCGCGATCTTGTCCTCGTTCGCGCGCATCTTGCCCTTCCAGTTCTACTGCGCTTAAAGTGAAAGTGAGTGACGAAGAAGATTTCGGGTGGATATGTGCACCACATAACATGACCATCACTCTGTGGGAGTTACTTCAACAATGTGGGCGGTCATTCCGCAATTGGAGCTGCAAGTGGCGTCGCCATGAGTACGTAGGACGAGGAGCGTCTGCTATGGCTGTGAGCGCGCTGGGTAAGCGCTAACTGGTACTGTGTGTCTCTACAGGCGAAAATGACGGCTCCGTGTCGCCTGATCAGCTCACGTCGCTCATCTCAGACGAGGTGGAGCGCCAACTGCGAGAACGAAGCTTCGTGCTCGAGGCGATGAAGGAGCAGATGGCCAAGGTACTGGCCGAGTTTGAGGAGATGGCATCCAACGTCAGCTCCAAGCGCTCGTGGTCCAATAGCGTCGCCAAGACGACGAAACCCTTGGTATCGCCCAAGAAGACGCTGTTCAGCGTGCATCCCGTCGTCTCACCCTTGGATACCGTTCCATTAGCGGCGTCCTCTCCATCCAAACTACCAAAGTAGCTGAATTGTCTGTTACAGTGTAGTTGGCACACAGTCTATACGTTCTAACTTCGGTTTTAAATTGTCTGTGTAGGATTGGCGGTGGACTTCTTAAAAGCATCAACCCCTTTAAGGGCAACGCTAATGGAGGGAGTCTCTCTCCAGGCTATGCAAGATCTCGCAGTCCCGATGGCAAAATTACTTTCGGTACGACTGCTCTATACTGCATTTTTATGAGAAATATAAACTAATCGTAGGATTCTTACCATATTCTGGATAGACAAAGTACTTCCACGAGTTGCCAACATTGAAAAACGCCATGACGGCTCACAGGTGATACTGTTGCAGCAAAGACATCACATGTATGAGAGAGCCTTAGTGCGATATCCACAGTGTCGAAGTAATGTATTCGCCCCGAGTGCGTACGATTACGAAGATACCCCTAGCTCGGATGCAAGTGCTGCTCTTCAGGCACCCCAGGCATCGCTAGAACTGGAATATGTGTATGGATGTCGTAGCGGAGTCACCACGTCACTGTCCAGTAGTCATCCTCCAGCACCGAATGCCAGCACCAACAACAACGCGTTCTATATATCAAATGGTGAGATCATGTGGTTCACAGCGACGTTAGTGGTGTTATACAGGAAAGAAACCAACACACAGAGGTTTTTCCGAGAACACACGAATGAAGTTACAAGTGTGGCGATTCATCCAAACCAGCGAATTGTTGCATCAGGACAAGCGGGGAGATCTGCGTTTGTTCTGGTGTGGAATGCGAATGACGAACCACTTGGCAAGCGGTTTGCATGCCTCAAAGGCCATCAAGTTACAGTGAGGTCCATCAGTTTCTCTCACGATGGCAAACTGCTTGCTTCTTTGGGAGGAGACATGTACAATACGATTTGTATTCACGACTGGAAAGCGCAGGAACTGCTGGTTAGTGCTCGAGGTCATACATTCCGAGTTCATGCGGTCGCCTTTAATCCTTTCCAGGCGTATGGCCGGCCCGAAGCAAATCGATCCAAGAAGCCAGGACAGGCTCTACACGACGACGATGCTTGTTACACTCTGGTCAGCTGTGGTGTTCGGCATATTCGCTTTTGGACTCTCACAAAAGGTGACTATGTCCCACCCCCTTCAAAGGAAAAGGCGGATAGTGCATTCTATGGGTCCACATTTGGTGGTCCTCAACGATTGCGTCCTCCAACTCCGACTGAAAAAGTGTGGAAGCTAGAAGGCAACGTCCCGTCATTTCATGGTCGTTTTGAGGTCCAAGATTTTACAAGTTTGACCTTCGTAAATGATTCCCCACCACTCTACATGTATGATGAGCACTCCAAGGAACTAGTCGCGACAAATATCACTGATCATTCTCTTGGCCGGATTGTAGCTGGTACTGCGAAGGGGGATATATGCTTGTTCTTGCAACCAAGAGCTAGTCCAGGTATTCACACCGTGTCGGAGCGTGATTTACAGAAAGAACCTGCGAAATGGTGGGAAATTCCTGACGAATATACCGATGCAGAGATAAACGAGCTCGTGCTGGAAAAAATCACATACGAACCAACAGGAAGACTTGTTGACGTCGTGCCTCACGATCAAGAAACTGGTAATCGATTTAAGCTACCAAAACAAGCTCAAGTAGAGATGGAAGGCCTGTCCAAGAAAATGGCGCTATGGCCTAACGCGACAGCGTTGCATTCGCGTTTGGATGGACTCAAGTATAGTGGACCCCTGGCTCACCAAGGAGCAGCGTTTCAAGTGGCATACTCCAAGAAGCGCAATTTGATCATGTCGTGTGGAAATGATGGGAAATTACTGTTGTGGACATGCCGACTTAGCAAGCCCATGCGAGTTCCTGGAGTTAACACACAAGGCGTTTTCACGCCACTGACAGACACATTTGCAGAAGGTTCGCACGCACTACTTCCTTTGGATGACCCGATGAAGGCATTCCATTTGCCTACTGCACTCCCAAATGCATTTAGCGCAGGTGGCAATGCTACTACACCGAAGCCCACGAGCATTGTCTGGAAAGATGATGGCAATTTTGTGCTTGTTGCCACTAGCAATAGCTGCATTTGGGAACTCAACATCGTTTCCGGAGAATGGAATTTGCTTTTTGAAGCTCACACTGGTGCGGTGGCGGCCTGCTCGGCAGACCCTACTGTGCAGGAGGCAGCAACAATATCTCAAGAAGGATATCTTAGATTTTGGGACCTCGACCAGCACTTGTGTATACGCCGTCTGTACCTCGGCAATTTCATCAACTCTAGCGTTAAAGCCTTCTGTATGGAGCACCACCCCACCGGCCACGAACTTTCAATTGGACTAAGTTCAGGTGAACTCCTGGTTGTGGACTGTCACGATTTTAGGGTCTCGCTACGGAAAAGCATTAAGCCAACCACTGCAAGTACAGCAAATGCGCATTTGGGCCTATACGGAATCGCCCAGGTGAAGTACTGCCCCAACGGAAAATATTTAGCTGTGGGGGTGAAGGATACTTTTGTGTACATTTTCGATGTCATCAATGGCTACAAAAAACTCCATGTCTGCGAAGGTCACTCGAGTGCCGTGACGCACTTGACCTGGAATATGGACGGTGACATCCTGCAAAGCAATGCAGCGGATGGTGAAATTCTACATTGGCTAATATCTCCTACGAAAGGAGAAACCAAGCAGATTACTGACGCTTTCCTCATTCGCGACGTGCAGTGGATTAAATTGACATGCGTGTTTGGGTGGCCAACGCCTGGCATCTGGTCAGAAGACTCACCCAATCTTGTGGACATTGCTGCAGTCTGCACGACGGGTCCAAAGTCGGTGAATGAGCATGAAGAATTAGAAAACACATACTCAACCTCAAATGAAGACTTGTTGGCTGTTGCTTGTCGATCGAGTATTCATCTTCTCAAGTACCCTTCTCATCGTGGCGCCAAACGAAAAGTTTACAAGGCTCATTCATCAGCAATTACTGCGATTGGTTTCTCCTTTGACGATGCGTTTTTAGTTACTGTTGGTGGCGACGATGGAACACTTATACAATGGAAAGTTGTGTCTGAAGGTACAAGTCCTTCTCGTGTCGATGCAAATTTCGGTACGAAAAATGCACATCAAATTCAGTTAACATACGACGATAACGTCGGAGAACGGCATAGTTCGACTCCTGTTCCTCCCCCACACGATGACAAGCCTAGATCCAGTCAACTCTCACCACGCAAGCAGTCTCGACAATACCGTGAGCGGCCTATTTATCAAGATGACAGTTTTAAAGAGTTTCAAAATGACCAAATTGACTCCGAAGTACAAGAAGCTGCGTTAAACGTTAAAAGTTTGCATCAGAGTACGAACGACGGGGATTCGACAACCGATAGAGAAACAAAGGAGGAATCACCTGACACTAACCAAGGTATCAGCTATCGAAGGGCAGTGGATAATGACGACCAGCTACCAGTTCCCATCCAAGTTCGTGTAATACGCGACTATACAGCTGAAAAACCGGACGATCTGAGTATGAATCGTGGGGAAATCCTCCGAGTGCTCTCAAAAGGTAGCGGTGAATGGTGGCTTGGTGAGACGTGTGACGGCACCAAGGGTTATTTTCCTGCTACTTTTGTAGAAGATATCGACCTTAGCATCCCCTCCACCGACGAAGAGCCCATAGCAAGCGAAGATCAACTAGCAGAAGGGTAAATATGATCAGTACATTTTAAGTTGAAATTCGTCTGCGACGTGTGAGAAATAATGGCTACATATCCGGTGGCTCTAGCCTACAAATCACATACCGAATCACACCTTTGGCAATCACTTGCTGGTCGGAATGACGACGGCATCCTCCGACACGGCCGCTTCCAGTGCAACGACGTTCAGCGATATACCGCTCCATGGAGACGTGGGCCGTGCACTCACAGCTATGCGCTTCCTGCGTCCGTCGCCTATTCAGCTGCACGCGCTGCCTGTGACTCTGTTCGGCAACGATGTCATTGGCCAGGCCAAGTCAGGCACGGGCAAGACCGCGGTCTTCGGAGTCACCGCCATCGAACACGCGATCCGCAACATAGAACAACGAACACAGGAGGTGGAGGATCAAATGGTGGGAGATCCGTTGGCATTGATTCTGGCGCCGACTCGAGAGATCGCGGTTCAGATTGAGACTGTGCTGCGTCAATTGGCGCAATTCCGACCGGATATCGTCATCCGCACGTGCATCGGTGGGCTGCCAGTAGCTCAAGATCAGGTAGCGGTGATTGCATAAATGTCGAGATGAGTGACTGTACTAACTCAAATGGTTGTATTAGATTCACTTGGCTGCGGGGTGCCATATTGTGGTGGGCACACCAGGCCGCGTGAAAGCGCTCGTAGATCAATGCTCACTGCCATGCAGTGCCATTCGACTGCTTGTTTTGGATGAAGTGGATAAACTCATGACACGAGACTTCGAGAAAGATGTAAGAGCATGAATCCGCGATGTGGTTTTGGGTATTGACAGCGTTCGCTACGTGCACAACAGATCCAATATATCGCGGATGCACTTCCCGAAAGGCGACAGGTAATGATGCCTTCTTGTCACACGGAGAGTGATAGTTGCCACAGAATTATTTATTTAATGCCTTGTTGTTCTTCTGATTCAGACACTCGCGTTTTCGGCCACGTTCACAACTGATCAACTTATGGCAGTTGCACAACTAATGAGGACTCCACAGGTAAGGTGCAACCTACAGTTAGCACAGATAGTGCTATGCGGTTTGTCTCATATATGCCCTTACCTCACCACATTCTCTGTTTCATTTTTTTTTTCAGATCGTGCGGGTTCGGGGGCCAGGTGATGTCACGACGGAGTTTATTTCGTCTGCTGACGACCTGGAAAAGTGGAAGAAACGAGAGCAATCTAATTCGCCGGAGCTTTGGCTTCGTCATGTACGCCAGTTTTACAGTGTTGTCAATACACCATCTGGACCAGCAGCAGGCGACAAGGTGGTGAAGCTGGCAGCACTACTGTCGGAGATCGTATTTGTGCAGTGTATGGTGTTCTGTAACGATAAATTTCGCGCTGAGGCGTTGGCCACAGCTCTTGCAGCGCAGGGTTGGCCAGCAGCATGTATCACTGGTTCTCAGACACAAGCTACACGTTTGGAAGTGATGGAAGGCTTTAGAGCATCACGTTCCCGTGTGTTGGTGTCTACAGACCTCACTGCACGAGGTATAGACGTCGACAAAGTCAACTTTGTGGTACGTTGTTAAATGGTGAAGGGCGGATACTTGGCCTCTGATCGTTGTTTTATTGAATTGTAGGTTAACCTGGATTTGCCACGAGACCCAGCAACATATTTGCATCGTGTTGGAAGAACAGGGCGTTTTGGTGGGAAAGGATTAGCAGTAACGCTACTCGCGAGAAAAGAAGTACAAGGAATCAGCCTACTTGCTCGAGTTTTCAAGATGGAGATCAATGAGTTGCCCAGTCCGGTACCAGCAGAGATTTATACCTACGCAGCTCCAGAAGAAAACGGTGGCGGTGAAGAAGCAGAGGGGCCTGCGGATGGTGTGGTCGACGAAACGTTTCCACCTGAGGTTGTGAGTGAGTCGTACAACTGTGAAGGTAATGACGAGGAGGAAGGAGACAAGCCTACAGACTCTGCGGCTGCTGGGAAATTTTCGGCTGATGAGACTGAGCATTCAAGTAAGAGGCACAACTATGAAGATGAAGCGGAGAACTCTATATCAAGTGCAGCAAAAATGGCAGTGGTGAACGAGCAATTGTCGAGAGCTGTCGTAAGCCGATACGATATGGAAGAGAAATCGTATGAAAGCTGGGTGAGGTTACTTTAGCTACCTCTGGTTTGACGTTAGATCTTGGCGCTAGCTTCCACATAGAATTGATCTCGTCATTACTCACATCCGCTCGCCATCGTCGCTGTATTCTGCCTTGTTAGATTTTCTTACAGAACACCACCGAGGGAGGTCAGCCGACTTTCTTCACAACTCGGCGCAAGGTGTTCACTGTTCGAAGCGTGACAGGGACACCCAATTTCTTGTCGAAATCTACTTTGAACAAAGTCGTGGTTCGCCCGAGGAAGCACTGAGACTTGTTGGAACTTTTAACCAATGAGATTCGTTTGGTTGCTTTTCTACCGCGTAAAGCCACGAGGTCGATTTTGGCGGGCTCCATTGCACCTATGCACGAGTTGGTACTAGCCGTCCAAAATTAGTTAGATAGAGCGCACTACAATTATGCACTCTCACGTCAACAAGTCTAGCCAATGGCAGCGCGTAAGAGCTCCATGTGTTTCAACTTGGCTCAGTTGTGATGTTTTTGTGGTGACTAATGATAATTATGCAAAATTTCTATTGCACGTGTAGATCAGAACAGTGCGTCGTCGACAAGGACCGTCATGATTCTCTCGTTGTGGAGGAAGTGACTTCCAGACTTCGTAGTGGTAAGTAATCAGAATCAGCGCGACGACATGAAGAGTAGCTAAGCTTAGGAAACCAAGATAGCTTGCATGTAGGCAGATCGTAGGGGTAGATAAAACAGCACTCGTCGTAACAGAAAACTTAAGATCCACTTGAAAGTTCCATCCCAAACTGTTTTCATAGTGTGTTTTCCAATCCAGTAGCATAGCTCCATACAGCGTAGTACATACATGCGATAACCAAGAGCGCGTGTATGCAGGGTGTTCACTAGCGTGTAGCAATGCTGTGTATAACTCTCCAGCACGTCTTTATTGCATGCCGGCTAAGGGGGGTCATCTCATCTTGAATTTTTCTTTCTTAGAACTGAACTCGATAATGTGGTCCAACCCTGCGAAGAAGGTTGACCAGTTTTCCGGTGTGCGTTTGATACATGATACGCTGTAAGTGTAACCTTGCATACGCCTTAGCTTCACACATGACGTACTGGATAGAGAACTGTACTCCTTGATACATTTTGTGATTTCGATGGATCCTTAGTGGGTATAGAACTACCGACCGAATAATGTGAAATAGCAGAAGGAGATTAACTCGGCCATATTCCTGAATACTGTACTACGTTGTGTAAAACAGAGATTTTTCAGGTATACCACATTTTCCCACGTGATGGACGTCTTTGTGAGCAATGATAATGGGTCCAGAAATTCTGGCCAAATTTCCACCGCTAGCATGCAAGTCTAGAAAAGGCGTTTCATAGTTTTTTTTCTTTTTGACAGCCGTGAGGAGAAGTGGCATCATTATCCGTAAATTGGTATTTCTTCCGTACGCATAGACCATTGTGTTGGATGCGGAATCTCAGATCACTAAGTATTGGTAGTACCATTTATCCAGAAATAAGTCTCTCTTCCACATGTTTTCCCATTCGGGAGGGTCCTGAATATCCAATGCTTCGTTTGGCCGCGAGGGTATTTTGGGGAGATCATGTAGTGGTCTTTTGAAATCTCGATTTCTCATGGTCTGGATAGTTTTTCCACGAAAAACTCAGCTGTGAGTCGTCGTAACTGCGTTTGAGGGGATTCTTGGTCCGAAGGTTGAGTCCTGATGAAGCAAGTCCCATTTCGTTAAATGTTTATGGAACACTGATGCCACTAACTTTTGTAGTCGTGGATATTCAAATGGAATTCCATCTAAAATATCACGGAGCAAGTTCAAACTTACGTTTTGGCCATGCATATCTACTAGATCAGTCATCCTCAAATAGCCTTTTCCACGGAAATGCTCAACTGATTTCGTAGTGTTCTCGAGAGGACGTGTGTGTATTTCCAACTAAAATCAGGAAATTGTTCCATAGTGATGCTTCAGTCGCAGCTTTCATCAACAGTCTATCACCGAGATGGTCTTTTCGAAGTTAACTCCAACTTTGCAATGTTAGAAACCAAAAGATTTCCAGTACCTTCCATGGTTCAGAAGCAGGATTGGTTTTTAGTATATTAGTGTATAAGATGTCAAAACCGATTCCACTGCCGTCCAAAGCCAGTGTGCAAAGAGTAGCAGCAGGTCAAACCACCTAAGTAGGGCGAGATTAGTACTCGTTGAAACAATAGCGTCCCGTAGGCTGCATAATCTCATCCCCGCACAAAATATCTTCGTATCTGGGAGACCTATTCCGCCTTTTGATGCAGGCCAATATAACCATTCCTCTGCAAAGTCTACAGTGATAGTCATATCTGCTGATATCGTTTTCTTAAACAAGAACGCCTTGCATAAATTCCGTACTTGAGAGACTAGTTTATCGTTGATGGCGGTTACCGCAGCAGTATACCACAAGAGTGGTAGAATTATCGTACGAAGAATGACAGCTCGGCCTCGCAGAGTCCTGCCACGATAATTCCAAAGAAGGAACCTCGTCACCATTTTGGGGATGATGCTTTCTTGACATGAACTAACTGGTAAGGTTGGACTTTGTGGTATTCCGAGGAGAGCAGTTTGGCCATTATCAGGTACAACGTAAAACGAGTCATCTTCGAGTAGAGTTCTCACTTCTTCATTCAATGTCTCAAAGGGAAGCACAATCGTTTATCTGCGTTGAGAGTCAGACCAGCACTTTCCGCATACTACCCAACTGCATATACGAATACCTGTGTATGCCGTAGATTATTGAGTATTCCAGTCCAACCATCAGCAAATGCAATGGTTTGGTGCGGTGAATTTACCTGAGGGAGGCAAATTCCCAAGTGACTAGTCTCACTTCGTAAATAATTCAATAATGGTTCAATGAACAATACGAATAAGGCAGGCGACAGCGGACCTCCTTGGCGGACACCACATCCAAGGTCAAAGTACTTACTCGCAGTGCCATTAACCAAAACCGTAACAATAGTACCGTAATAGAAAGTTCGCACTTCTTGGCGAAATGTTTCTCCAAATCCATAGTGTTGTAGCACCAAACCCAAAGCAGGCCATAATACCCTATCAAAGGCTTTAGCGAAATCTAACAGGATAGCTCCCGCATCACTAAGACCAGCATGTCTAGCATATTCCTGCAGATCTTGAAAAGTGATAAGTGCATGGCGTATAGATCTACCTTGCGTGTATCCAAATTGGTAAGGATGAAGTAACTTGAGGAGGAGACGTCGTAACCGGTATGCTAACACTTTGGGTCCGAATTTGGAATTTCGTCATTCTTTCTTTGTTGAACTGGGCGGCATATATCAGCTCGTAAACTTGCGCCCACTTTACAGAAAAAAGTTGATAATATTCAGCCGGTATGGTGTATTCCATAGTGGAGCAGAGTGGAACAAGGGAATTATGTTTTCCACACAAGATAGATACCGGTATACCAGTGGAAACTGGTCTTCCGGCTTCGCTGGCTTGCTGCGGACCACACGTGTCGTACCCTCTCACTTCGCAACCAGAAGAACAAGCAGCAAGCAGCTCAAGAATTAAAGGGGGACTCTTTTCGGTAATAACCATGGCCACCCGCGACACGACTACGCCAGCATCCACGCCTCCCTCGCCTTCGCCCAGGGCTGACGCCGCCCCGTCGGACAGCGAGACGCCTGGAAGAAGCCCTGATGTCGTCGACATCACCGGCGGTGAGGAACCGTGGACCGCCAGCGCTGCCCGCAGCACGTCCGACCCCCCCCCCCCCTCCGCTACGAGCGAGCAAGCGCGCTGCTGCAAGGACGGCTACGAGTACGGTGTCGGTCGAGGCCCGTAAGGGCAAGAAGAAGGCGTCAGGACGTGCGTCGACGGCAGCTTCGGTCAGCTCAAGCAGCAAAAAGGGCTCTGAGGACTCCGGGAGTACAGGACCTACGAAGAGAGCCGAGGATGCGGGCGTTGAAACGGACCCCGACGCGGAAGAGAAGGTTGCGCTTCCAAGAGCCAAACGGGCAAAGAAGTCCCCTGCTCCTGCTCCATCACCCACGGCACGAACGCCCGCGCCAGCCAAGACCGCGGAGGCGTCGGGTAACGATGGGGGTGGGTTCAACCTGAACGAGTTCATGGCTTCGTTTGAGCCCAGCCGAGCTGTGCCAGAACGAAGAGAAGCCGCTGCCCTGCCTACAGCGACGCCGGCCCAAGCTTCGTTTCGACATGATTCGTCAGCCGAGGTCACTGAGACCGACGTCGAGCCGGTCATGGCCGAACTCGGAGCGCTGCGGGAGGAGATTTCCCGCCTGCGAATGCTTCAAGGTCAAGGTGAGCCTCGGTGGGGGCCTGCCGCATCGGCTCCTTTGTTGGAAGTTCCCACTAGTGCTGGTACTGCCCCAAACACAAAAGGAGAGCTTCCTCCTCCAGAGGTTCGCTTCCTGACGTGTGGAAGTTTCCCGGAAATTTCGAAGAAGTCCAAGGGCGAGTATAATCCGCCGCAAACCCACCTTCTGGCAGCAAGTCGCATGTTCCGTGGATTGGGCCTGGAACCAGGTAAGATGAAGTCTCCTATGTCGTTTGTGCTGATGCTGCGGGAGCTAGAGTGCGTGAAGTTCAAGACATCTCCGGCGGTTCTGATGGCGGTCTTCAGTGGGCGCCTGGGCTCAAGAGGTCTTACCGTCATGCACTTTAAGGAGGCGAGCGAAATGTCGTGCTTGGAGGATGGCTCGACCAACGTCAACTTCTCTAGTGGCTTCAGCCCATCTGCAACACTACCAGGCTCCACGATACAATGTTCTTCGTATGACGACATTCTGGATGGCATTCATGGCCTCAACGCGCTTGGCCAAGAGGTGTGGTTTGACTACATGCGCAAGTTGGCATCTCGTCTCCGGACTTTCGTGTGCAAGAACAAGTCCGCCGACCCAAGCAACACGCCGACCCGTGTCCGGGCTAACCCTCATGTACGTGAACAAGTTTGCGGGTGGCGCACTCGCCCACCTTCAAGAGGATGACCCGATGTGGTGGACCAATTTCTGCGAGTCTGCGCAGCATTGAGTACCAGTCCGCCGCGTGGACGATGGCTCTGGTCAATGTCGCGACTCAAGCTCACGAGGATGAAAGCCGGTGAGGGCGTGACGGCCGAGGCAAGCAAGATCAAGACCGAGCACCAGCTATCCCCGGTGCCATTCGTCGGCTGATACCGATCAACCGCCGTGGACAAGAGCCGTGCCTTCGCAACGTGGCTGGTCTCCCTTGTTCCGGCGGCTCTCGTGACCGATACGGTAACGCTCGCCGCGTCCACAACTGGCCAGACAGCCTACCCTCTCGACTTCAAGACTGAATCGACCGTACGTACGGTGTCCGTGAAGCGAACCTAGCGTATCACTAGTGATTTCGCCGAGAGGACGGCAGCTCGACCTTTTTTCGGTGCATTGCCCAGGTTAAGCAGGATAATGCAAGACGTTCTACTAAAAGTCTGGCTTCGAGCATCTACATCCACGACTCTGTGTCGACGCTGGCTACGCCTACGAATTCTTCCGGGGAGGAGGTAAGGGTGGGAGCGAAGCGGTGGGGGACGAAATCGTCTCGCGAGCGAGTGAAAAGCTGTACGGACCGTCATTTTGTCAAGGAAACCTACCGCAACGTGTCAATTTGGTGACTTGTGAAGGTTCCGAATATAACGCCTCTGGTGCCAACGTGCCTCCCCTCTGCGCTACGGATGTACAGCCACCTTTGACTATACAGTCCGGGTCGACCATACAGTCACTCAACGCCATACAGCAACCTTTGACTGTACAGTCTGAGTTCCTAATACAGAAACTCTCCACCGAGACGTCGCTTTCCGCTACCGAAGACAGCACGTTGATGGCCCTTAAGCTCGTACGACCGGTTGTATCAAGCGAGGTTGCGGCCAGAGCACACGATAATGCGAGACAGCGCCGTGATCTTCTCCGAGAACTACAAACAGCAACAATGGCTGAGGTTT